CTACGGTCTTGCAGCTGCTCTATTCACCGAGAAGATCTCGCGGGCACACAAGGTCGCTCGCAAACTTCAGGCTGGCATGGTCTGGATCAACTCATCTGGCGATTCACACTTTGGTATCCCCTTTGGCGGATACAAGTCTTCTGGAATTGGTCGAGAATTGGGACAGTATGCGCTAGATGCCTACACTCAATCCAAGGCTATCCATGTGAACCTGGGATTTGAGCTGTAGGGGAATCTGTGTAGAGAATTTGATACGAGATAGCCATAATGATACCATATATTACATGACTGATTGCTAGGTTCTGCTGACTACTTAGTGAGTGACTATTCTCCAGCTCGGTTATCTTCCGATGGATCCCCAACATATTTAGTTGGTATCTGAGAGAGTGCGACCTTGAACTCCTTATCAGCGCCCTTATCTTAATCACCCAGCCCCCAAAACAGGCAAGTCAGTGACTCGGAGAGTCTCAAACGCGCCGATGACCGGAGTCGGCATTACACTACCTTTAACAGCGAGAGACGAGCCAACACTCGGGTTCTGTTTCCTCTTTATCGCATCCGAGCCCCATGACCAGGTTTCGGACCGCCTTATCGGACGCGCGATCTCCGCTTTATCATCAAAGCATGTAACCTAATTCGTTGGAGGCTTGTCAGTGGAGAATGACTACAAGCAAAAGGGCGTCCAAAAGATACCTGATAACATCGGCATTCGTGTCTCGTTGTCCGAAATGCTAGATATAAATGATAGTATTCAGGCTTATCTGAGTTATACTCTAGATATGATAAGCCCAGTAACACATCTGAATTTAACATACTGCCCCTTACCGCGCGAATAGTCTCCCTTCTACACCAACAATACACCACAGTCACAATGACAGTCACAGACCCAGTCAGTCCAGATGCTATCAGGGCCATGTTTGCCTCTGCCCTTTCGAGCATGTATCGACGTGAAGTTCCCCAATACGGCACACTGCTCAAGCTTGTATCCGATATCAATCACCAAAAACATCAACCCATCGAGCCCCGTATCGAGGTTGAACGCCATGGAGCTATCAGACTTGGAACACCCGAAGAACTAGCAATGATGCGGCGATTATTCGCTGTAATGGGAATGCATCCTGTTGGCTACTACGACCTCACTGTCGCCAATCTCCCAGTTCACGCAACATGCTTTCGACCTCTGACACAGGAAGCACTGGCATACAACCCTTTTCGGGTATTCACATCTTTATTGCGGCTTGAACTCATCGAGGACGAGACACTTCGGACCCAGGCTGCCGATATTTTGCGAAAACGCAACATCTTTACAGATCGATGTGTGGAATTGATCGAAATATTCGAAGCACAAAAGTCTTTCTCCAAAGAGGTATCAAAAGAATTCATAAAAGAAGCCCTCGAAACATTTCGATGGCACAAAACATCAACAGTTGACATGAAAACATACAAAGCTCTTCGAGAAGCACATCCCTTGATCGCAGACGTCGTCTGTTTCAAAGGACCTCACATCAACCATCTCACGCCACGGGTCCTCGACATCGAAACAGCACAAGTTGAAATGCTTCGATATGGCCTCCAAGCCAAAGACGCTATAGAAGGACCTCCACCAAGGCTTTGCCCTATCCTCCTTCGCCAAACAAGTTTCTTAGCCCTTGATGAAGCGATTGCCTTTTCAGAAGGAGAAGAAACTGGAGGAAGCCACAAGGCGAGATTTGGAGAGATTGAGCAGCGGGGAATGGCCTTGACGCCCAAGGGAAGACGTCTATACGATGATCTTATCAACGAGTGGCGAGGGTCTGCGGCCGAGCTCACGTCTGATGCCAAGTCTGGCTTGAAGGAGCAAATTCTTGCAAAGGTTTTCCAGAAGTTCCCCGATGACTTGGAAACCATTCGAAAAGAGAATCTTGCATACTTCACATACAGTCCTGTTTCTCAGCTACCAATAGATCCCGATGCGAGTATCGACAGTCTTGTCAGCTCCGGGGCCGTTAAGGCTGAGCCGATTACATATGAGGATTTCTTGCCTGTCAGTGCAGCTGGAATCTTTCATTCAAATCTAGGAGAAGATGGCGGGCTGAGCCATGTCGCAGAAGCTGATCAAGAGTCTTTCGAGAAGAGTCTTGGATGTCAGGTTAAGAGGGAATTTGAGTTGTACAGTGAAATGCAGGAAGTGTCGATTCAAGGATGTTTGGAGAGGTAATGGGTTATGAATGATGATTCTGGTTAATTTAGCGACTTATGGAAGGTAATAATGATATGGATATGGCTGTTCGATCTCGAAGAGTAGCTCTCGGAGTATATCGATGTAGTTATCCAGTGGTAAAAATCATTCGATAAGGTTGATCGAGGTTAGATCTTTGCTGAAGACCCCCTTGAGTTCGAACCCTTAGCGTCGACCTCGATTTCCAGCCTCATACCCGGCAGTGCCAACTTCGCAACGCCCAACACAACACCTCCAGGTCGGTTGTTAGGAATTCGCTTCTTAAGAGCCTCAGCTAGAGGAGATAGTGTGGCGTCAATATCGGTATGATAGCTGCGTATGTAGTAGACGTCTTCCCATCCACGAAGACCAGCTGCTTTGAGAACATCATCGACGTTTTGAATTGTCTGTTCAGTTTCCTTAGTGACGTCGGTGTATATTTCGCCTTTAGAATTCCAGCCGCCCTGGCCTGAGATTTTGAAGTGGCCGTTGCCGAGATCTACGGCTTGGGAGTAATGGACGGCGTCGGAGAGGGTTTGGGTGAAGCCGGGAGGAGTGGTGTATTTTACTGAGGGCATATTGTAGGGATAAGAGCAGAGATGTATTGAGGATTGTGAAACTTGACTTGATGTAACCGCGAATCCCTTGAGTATTGTCGGAGGAAGGTAGTGTGAAACTTATCTTGTCGTTCAAATGAGGCCGTCGTAAGTTTATATACGCCCAGATCAGATAACGTTGAAATAAATACAGCCCTTTTCAATTAATAATTCAGGACGCTATTATTACAGCTCTTACACAGTAATTGTACGCCTGAGGACTTGTTATTGATCTCGGCCCTCGGCCGGCTTGAATAACCGTGCATGCCGTGTCTGTGGCCCCAGCTAAGAAAGCTAAAAAGCAGTATCTATCGACAGAAGCAGTAATTATGAGAGAGAAATTAGATTGTTCATATTTAGTGTCTGCAAAGCCTATACTTGAAGCCGGCAAAGAGGTGCTTTAGACTCCGTAGCTCAAATCAGGACGAAGCTGTTTGCCAGTACAGTCAAGTCTAGGCTTTCATGGATGGCACCATCAACTATGTCCTCGACTAGTGCGAAAGAACACATGGAAAGTTGGTCTCTTTCATGAACAGAAATGTGTACTGGCCAAGTGCTACAAATGACTTGTAATGATGGTGGTGAAATCTCATGCAGCCATGCGTTGTGTGTTGAAATTCAGATCTCGAGGTTGAGGTTGGGATGGGGCAACTGATTCAACTAGTCTATCTGCGTATCTGTGCTACTGAATCTACATAACTAGCTCGAGAAGGATACTAGTAAGCAAAGCAGTAAACACCGTCAAGAGCCCGCTTTTGCTACCAGCGAATGCTTGTGCACCATTATTATCCTTTCCACCTCCGTTGCTTTGACCAGAGGCCTCTCCAGTGCTAGATGTCACTAAGGCACCTTCTGTCCCAGTACCTGTTGCATCCATACCTGAATCGGTCGTTTTGCTGGGTATCGCGGTCAAGCTCGTGGTAGGTTTCACAACAGCCTCAGCAAGACTGCTGCGGGCCTTTTTGACATCCAAACCACAAGGCTTCGGTTTCGGTGAGGCGTCTTCGGCAAGAATAGGACAGCCAACTGTATGGTTGCGTTCAACCCTCACAGCAGTTCCCCCAATAGCGCAGCCATCGTACTCTGCGATAGCCTTTCTTGCAGTCTTCGCGCCAGGGCGAAGGGTGAAAGTTACGTTTCCAGACCGCTCGAACTGGTTGTTCTTCAAGAGAAGACTACCATCTTTGCGTGGCTCGCAGACAGTGGTCCATCGTAAATCCCACTTGAGGATACAAGAATCTTCTTCGCCACGCCAGTACTGAAACTGGCCACCCTCGTCAGCATCAGCGATGGCTTTGCTCGTGTTGAGAAAGTAATAAGGCTCCGAGTCAGGTAAAAAGTCCAAGTATAGTCGACCGATGCCGAATAAAGTATATGCACAGTTAAGTTCCCAGTTGAGTGTGCCGCTGAAGGTGGTCAACACTGGGGCATTTTGAAGGCCGAATATGACGGGAAATGGGGCTTCGGCGGCATATGTATCTTCCCTAGGAAACACGATGTCGACTTCGCCGATGGCGGGGAACGAAACAACATCTTCGTCGGAGGCAACTGCCAGGACTGCGAGGCCTAGGCTGATGAATGTCGACGAAAAGGCACGCATCTCAACGTCGCCGGATCAATAGAGCAAATAAGCTTGGATGAATGAACATCCACTTTCACTATTCACTGGAAGATAAGGAGGTACTTAAGCTTCTTGTGGGATCGCGAGCGATAAAATGACCTAGCCAGCCCTTCTCGAGCATGGATCCATCCCTGTTCATTGCATTCAAACCAGCACGATTTAGGGATCAGCTGAAAACCATGAAACAAGTCGGGCGCCTCGATTTTAATTGCGAAGGGCAATCTACGCCAATCATCCATGAAGTTATCTTCGTCACAGGCACTTAGTCAGGAAAACGTGGCCATTTAATTGAGTTGCGAAAAATAGAAGGTACTCCTTCCTGGATCGTGAATCACGGTGTATGACTAATAACCTTATCTTCAACCTTATATCAAGTGTAAGTCGAGCTAATGAATTGCTGGACCGATACACCAATGACAATGGGTTCCTTGGCTTGAATTTCCAAAGGAATTTGCTCTGGTGATGAAGCATGCTGATTGCTGAAGATAGATGACACTAGAATACGTTACCATTTGTAGTCGTGCAAAAACTGCAGAGCTAGGTTCTTAGACCAGAATTTGATCGTGAGAAATGTCCAATAACCACTGGCAACGTGGCGGAGTGGTTAACGCGATTGACTCGAAGCGGTTTAAAAGACCCTGGCAATCAATTTCCTTCGGGAGCGCATGTTCGAATCATGCCGTTGTCGTTTCTTTTTTATTTCTTCTAGTATTTTAGTTCCTGAGAGCACCACCACCACTACTGTAGGCTTGTTTGCGCGTAGAGATTAAACGCGATTATCTGAAATGGCCTAAATATTTCTCTCTTTACTTAACCATGATAGTGTCTGGCAGGTAGGGTCCGTGTCCTTCATCCGGCATCTTACATCCGGCAGGTCGCACAACAAACACCGATGTTCTCGGCAGGCTGATGCCGGAAGAAGTCGAAGACGCGAAAAGCGAGAATCACGTGTGAACACAAGAAAGACCTGTGCTTTGATAGCTTAGATCTTGTTTCTCGGGCTGCCATTGAGTGCGTAATCAACTCGTCTAAAAGTACTCTGGGATTGACGTTTATTGTTACTGGTTAGTCACCATGAGCATACAACGACTTGGTCTTGGTGCCATGAGAGGTAAAACACCTGAACCTAGAAGTGTAATCGCAATAGCATTGTTGAAGCTCCTCAATAGGCATTGAACGACCGGGAGTCTTCTTCAACCAGAACATCCCGAAGTTGGCTTTGGCCCGTCTGTTGTCCCAACAAGCAAGGTGAGTTCTCAATTTCAACTTCCTCTTGGTTTCTCTCTAACTCCCTTCAGATCTTCTTACAGAGAACGCCCAGAGATTGTTCACACGAGCCAGAAAGAAGCTCACGACATTCTTGTCAAACAACGCCTCAACCGCCCCGTCACTCCAAACCTCACAATCTACAAGGTTGGACAAGTCTGGTTCAGTGCATCAGCATGGACTCGAATAACAGGCCTTGCTGTAGGTGGTACAGCTTACCTGACCCTGTGCGCCCATGCTGTAGCTCCTTATCTTGGAATAGGATTTGACTCTGCTGCTTTGGTGTCGGCTTTTGGAGCGTTGCCTTTTGCTACCAAGGCCGCAATCAAATTTGGACTGCTAGGGTTTCCGTTCGCATATCATTTTATCAATGGTATTCGACACTTGGTGTTTGATCTGGGGATTGGATACAAGAAGGCGCAGTTTAAGAAGTCAGAGGCAGCTACGTGGATACTGAGTATTCTTGGTGGTCTTGTCTTGGCCTTCTGGATCTAGATGTTAAGCTATTTCACGATCGAGGATCAATTCGACGTCCATTAACTATTGCTAAATAGCATTGTAGAGCCATTCCTATTCTCATCATCCATCTGGTGGCAAGTGGCGTGGAGCTTGATCAACAAAAACGGTTTCTCTCTATGAGCTATAAACAGTTACGCAAAATTCTATATAGACAATGAACTTAGTTCCAGACCAAGCAGGCACTTCTCCAACAAATCGCAAATCGCTTGCCCAGACTCATCACAACATCTGCTAACTTCCCAGCTTCGTCGGGAAACTCGGGTATATCGGTAACACGGTATTCTAGCAGTATCCACACCCATGGATCCAACCGGTCGCATCCCGGATTTAATTCACCGTAGGATTCTATTACTCGTCAATCTTGGCCGGAGGTGTGCCTCCAGGAGCAGCACCAGAAGGAGCAGATCCGCCCATACCGCCACCGGAGTTCTCGTTGGCAACGCCTCCCTCCTTGTAGTAGTAGGCAGCCGGAGACACGGAGCTAGACTGGGTGGAGTTGATGCCGAAAGCAAGCCAAGCGAAAAGACCGTCGCTGATGCTGTCACCGAGAAGAGTGTACTCCATGAAGGGGTCAACACCATCGGTCTGTGTCTCTTCGCTCAGAATACCATCATCTTCGTTGAGGGTGAGTTCCTGGGTGTTGGAAGCATAAGGCTCGAGAGTTTCGACTTGCGAGATGAGGTCTTGGTCAAAGAAGGCTTGTCCAACATGGCTGGCGTAGTTGTCTCGGCCGAGGGTCTGGTTGGCGAGGAGAGTCGCGTTGGCATGGACCATGACGTGGATATGAGTAGCACGGCTGGTGTAGTGACCGGGGAAGATGGACTCGAACTGAGCAACACCATCAGAGTCGGTCTTCTGAATGCCTCGAAGCCAAGTCTGGTCAATGTTGGTCTCATCAGAGCTATCGCCATTGCCGTTGGCAACGATACCAGAGTATACGCCAGTGGAGTTGCAGTGCCACATCTCCAGGTAGACATCGGGGACAGGGTCGCAGGTTTCGACGTCAATAACCTGGTAGTCGAGGACGATGTTGAGACCCTCTTGATCTTCAATGATATTCTCACGAACGTATTCGCCGGCCACATCTGGATTATTTTAGCTAATGTCCCTGAAACAAAAAGGGAACGGAATTCATTTACAGTAAGGACCCTGAGTAACCTCGGGAGTCAAAACACAAGAGTTGATGCTGGCAAACAGGACCGAAGGGGCAGTGCAAGGGCTGAAGCCTTGAGAAGTCTTGTTGTGAGAAGTGTTCAGGGCGGTATCAGCATCGCGCTTCTTCAAGCTTCGCTTCTGGCGAGCCTTGTTAACCTGAGCCGAACGACGAGCGATGTTGCGAGCCTCGATACCACGAGCTCGAAGCTTGGGGGCGCAGTGGGCGAGGGAGGATCGCTTGACAGAGTTGAGAAACTCGCGACGTTCGGCGGCCTCGTGAGCAATATCATGTCCTGGATGGGCCGAGGCGATGCTAGCCGCGAGGGCGAAGCTGGCGAGGAGGCTCTTGAAAGAGGGCATGTTGATGATTTCAATGATAGTTTGTATTTGGTTAGAGAACGATCTGGAAGAGGCTGATGCGAGTGATGAGGATATCGAGATTGTGATTCAATTGCAGAGGCTCATTCTTTATATCTATTGTAAGCTCCGAATCCACCGCCTCTCGACCTCAACAACAACCCACATACCGAGTGGCGCTGAGGCTGCATATTCGCATTGTCGAGAGGCGCATGGACACGCTGTGACGCGTTAATGTTACGGAAAACAACCAAACGGTCAATTTCTCCGAATAAAGCTGCCAAGCTAAGAATGAAGCATAGACGGCACCTAAAAAGCACTGCCGAGGTCTGGTTTAGGGCCAGCCTATAGCGGAGAATGTAAAACGAGTCAGGCAAAAGAGGTGACGACGATTGGCTCGCGAACGCGCAGCTCAAGGTAGGACACGCGTGTTGTGGGGGCTCGTCGGGAGGTGGGAGCCCACATCGCGAGAGATCTTCACGATGTCATCTCAAAAGTCGAGATGGGGAAATGCGTGTGCGTAAGTCGTATTTGAAATTGGGGGTTCTCATTGGTTGGAGGTTTGAAGGGTGTTTTCAAGCATATACCCAAGTTGACGTAGTGGTTTTCTAGACTGATGCTGCACGTTTCAAGACTACTACGAGCAGGTGATAGGTGCTCGTAGACCGGGACAGGTTTCAATAGCTTCATAGATTCATGTGCAAGCCTAAGTTTTTGTATCTATGCACTGCCGTCACTTTATCATGGAAGTTGAGAGTAGAGTTGGAGCATTTCCGTGGCTTTCTAGGTCGTCTCCCGACCTATTATCAGATACACCAAGAAGGCATAGCCATCATGCTCTCGCATTACAGGATGTTGTTTTACTTACTCAGATACTTTTGCCGTTTGGATTTACGTGACTGTTATCGACAAGCTAGAGGCGCCCTTTGCAATAGGTATCTTGAAGGTGAAAGTAATGCCCTTCCGACGCGCTGTTTGGGATGATTTACGGACCCCTATGGAGTTTTTGTCGTGTTCCTTTGGGTACAGTTTCCCAGACTTTTGGCCTGATTTTGCCAACTTTGGATATAAAAGCGACCTTAATAAATGGGCGAAACACCCGGATATGAAGCGCACGATAGACATCTGGATGTCTTGGCCACTTTATGTTGAATTAAAGCCATTTGCGAAAGAGCAACTTATCAACGATACATCAGAGTGTAGTAGCTATTCATTGGTAAAAGATAATACTTGTAGGATTTACGATCAATGCCCCCGACCAGTGAATCCATCAAGCCTCCGAGAAATGATCCTTCTTCAGGGTAGCTTTAGACTGAAGCCAGGGTTGCGCGACAGATATGCTGTTCATTTATATTCCTATGTAATCCCCCCCACTTGCTGATATCGATTACAATGATGCGACATAAGGATGGCCAAGAACTTTAAGATGGCAGATAGGGCTGTCACAAACTCAATTCACTTAACTTTACTGGAGCCCTGTGCATTCAGGACATTGAACGAGTATACACTTATACTTCTCATGCTTGTCAGATTTTAATCATCTAGATTCTGGAAAAGTCCCTTGGTGCAACATCCCGCTAGAACAAGGCCAAGCCAAATCCCACCCATTGGCTACTGCACTGGAACTTTCCAGATGCGGCCTCTTGGATGGTTTTCCACAGACAATTCTTGCATCCTGCACCGCTTCAGTTCTAGTCCAGAGCTGCGAATGAGCCGCATTCTAGTCTGCCATTCATTACCCGCTTGTTGGGCCTTATCCGAGCTGTTGGCTCGTCTAGCCATGGTCCGGCCGAGAACGTGTTGTGGCGCTTGAGTTGACCCAGCGTGCCGGTCCGCCATCACATTGGTACATAAGTAAGATTAGGACGGTATCTTTATGCATTTTATGCTGCAAGTCCCGGCGTGTTTTTGCGGGATTAACTAATCGTCGATTGGGTGTTGAGATGCAGGGGTAGCGATACGAAGGGGAGCGCCATCCTTTTGTGTATCACCATCGCCAACAACCTTGCTACTGACCAGCTGCCTGAACCTCGCTGTATTATTGGACGTCCCACTGGCCAGCGGGAGCATTCCAGAAGAACAATTCTCGTCGCACAGTCTTGCCTCTGCGTTCACAATCAGCAAATGGGATCTGTGGTCTCCGAATATGTACAGAGTAGGGAACTTACCTTATCGCAAGCCACCAATCGTGTTGCCGGTTACGCGGGGAACGACCAAAAAACGTCGAACTATGGAATGGTGGCTTCTTGGCCCCTTGGTACGGAGGACTCTGTACGGAGTACAGTAGCATTCGTTGATCGGACCCCGGACATTATCGCTTGTGCTAATTTGCGATGAGGCAGGGTAGGCTGTCAGCTGTGCATGATCCCCTCTCCCACGAGGCTCGGACCCTTCTGAGACACTTCGGTTAGAGAAGATGGCAAATTAAAATCGCATTCGCGGAGGTGACTAGAGAGTTCTCAGTCAAGCGGGTGAAACTATTCATGGTGGAATACTGGTACCCGCACCATCTGCAGCGGATCTACAGCCGAGTCCCCAGAAATCAGATCTAGTTAGTGGTACGAAGCCTGAAGCGAGGCCAAACTTGATGGTGCCTGATAAACTTTGGGGCTACGAGACTAGCGCATCTGCAGACCTCAGATCACCTTGGGCCTAGAACTAGTCAAAGCCAATATGTGATTACACATGCGAGAGACATGGCTTGCTCAGATTCCTCTTAAAGCCGCGTCTCCATCCCCATCCCGCGCTCGCTCTGCCGCTGTTTCTGCGACTCTCCATCTTATTCTGCATTCCGCGTAATTTCGCTTTTGAGTATCTACCGCAAAAAATGGCGATCAACGAAGTCGACAAGTATCTGTGGCTGGCATACTGCAAGGCTGTGCAGAATGCTGTCGGTGGTCTGCCTGGACATAAGCCTGCTTTGTTCTTCACAAAGCATGCGCAAAAGGCACCAGTCGCGTCACAAGATATCGACCCGGCCTATACGAACTACGGAATCAACAACATCATCAACAATTTCTTGCAAACTAATGATCTCTTCTATGATCCGGCTCATCACAAAACCTATACTCAATGTTTGCTCGAGTAAGCACCTCGTCACCATACAGTGCGCATGAACTGACCAAGATTAGATATCTGATGACTGTCAAGATTGTACGTGAATTGCATGTGCAACAAATTGCTTCTTCTAATAAGTCATAGGGTGAGGGTGATCAAGTCCGGGTAACGATGATAGGCCGAACCCTGGCAAGTGCACTTGACCAGGCCTTGCGCGAGAGGGATCGTGCCCTGGAGACCTTTGAAAAAGAAGAAGGCTACGGCCTCACGGGCGAGCAAGACTTTTCTCAATGGTGGCCATCGCATGCTCCTGCATACTCGGCAGCCAAGCAAAAGGTTGAGGCCGCAGCCGCAGACTATCAGGCTACCCTCCTCAGCATAGGCGGACCAACTGCTAGTTCGCTAGCCAGAGATTTCAATCGAATCGTCAAGGCCCTGATTGGCGGGCAGTCAGTCCCAGGGTGAGATATCATCTTCCGAAGCATTTTGGCCGATTTCTGAATCCTAACCTTGATAGCATCACAATGCCTGCTTGTCACGCCTCAGCTGACATCACCCGTGAACTTCTTGAGAGAGACAGAACACCGCACGCCATCACATATGTCCCTGAGTGGATGTCTCTTCAGTACACTGCCCAAGTTGAACACTGGATGAACGGCGTTGGCGACGGTGACTCTTCTACTCAGATCAACGTTGCTGATGGTAGAGAGATCAACGAATCCGACTTTGGCCATGCGTCCACAGACGCATTCTCCTATGGACCGTGGTTGTCTTTCTCTACCGGCAAAGGAAGTACCAACGAGAAGGGTGTGTCTTTCGGTTCTATGGACACCGATACTAATCTCGACGTGCAATTCTCGTATGATGAAATTCAAACCATTTGTGTTCCGGCTGGTGATTGGTAAGTTGTACTTGTCCAACAAGATTCGTATATGCTCATATCATCCTAGGAACGTTCCTAGCCCGGGACGACGCTATCAGTTGTCAGACACCGCCTCTGAAGAGTCCCGCAACCTTGCCTTCCCAGACTATCTCGTCGTCGTGAGGAACCTCGGCTTCAAGGTCTACATCCGAGATTACAAGGTTGCAGGACAGATCGACAACTTGTTTGAGGAAGCTAAGTCTTCTGGTGGTTCTGTCAGAGTTTTCGGTATTCCTGCTACGCCGGATGGCAGCCCGGATAGGGCTACTGAGGAGAATGCCCATATTGCCGAGTGGGATCTCGGTGCTGGTATGCTTTCAATCAGGCCGACTACTGATGCCGGGTTTGCTTCTGTTGTGGCTCTTGTTGGTGAGCTGAACATCAGTTGACTCGTGTCGGGGCGAGTGTAGTCTTGGTTGCTGTTGTCTGGATTGTTTTACAATCATTAAGTCACTCAACAATGAAATGCATTTGTCCTGGATATCCATAGAACTCTATCAGTATCACTAGCAAGATATTAAGTCTTCTTTCAGAGAGCAAGTATGTAACAAGCCCTCAGATATATATATACTTTCTCAAAGTTTATTATAGTTAATAAGTAATAAATGTCTTAAATCCTAAGTGTCTTAGCCTATGCAAGGCCCCCTCACTCGCAAAAGGTATTGGGATTCACAACAGCAGAGATGCAAGGATTATATATATAGAAAGACAAAAAGAACATCGACAACGGCAGGATTCGAACCTGCGCTCCCGAGGGAAACAGCTTAACGGTAATTCGAGGCTGTCGCGATAACCACTCCGCCACGTTGCCTAGACCGGATTGATGTTATTCCCGTCGCAAAGAGGTGCCATTACAGCGCGAGGTCACACACGATATACTTGAACTGACAGGAGGATTATCATTTGTTGAAAAAAGTCATTCATATCGAAATTAAGGTGGTTTGCCCGCCATTCAAAGACCATGTTTGCGTATAGTAGCATCCAGATCTACCAACTTGAGATCATGTGACAGGCCGAATGCGAGGGCTATTAATAGGGATGTGATTATGATTTGGCCAAACAGCCTCTAGAATTACTCATCTCATTGTCTGGTTACTTTGAAGGTACCAAGAAGATATCGGACTGTTGCTGGTGTGAAAGAAAACTTCATTCGAGGATGATGCGACGTTAACAAAGGGCCCAGTTGAACACCCTGACTCGCTTCCTTTCAGAAGGGAGCCTCCAATTCTGGCAACATAGAAAGGCATTCTTAGAATTAGAGCCGGTTGGCATGTCGGAATTTCATGACTACATCATCAGCCACATCAGGGTCATTGCACTGCTTTTATCAAAGGGCAGGCAACAAAGGCCAAAAAGAACAATCAAACCCAAAAGGGCGGATAAAGCATGCGCTGCCACACATTGAGTTGTTTGTTTGTTTGTTTGAATAGTAAGCGGGTGTAAGATTGAGTTTGGAATGTGTTTACTGCATATGAAGCTTAATGGTGTAAGTTGGCGATCAATACTTAAACTTGATGTAATCTTAACTCTTGCTACTTTATCATAACAGCAACTTAAATCAAGATTCAAACAGTAACCTTCATAAATTATTTATACGTTAAGACATTAATTATCATGTTTAATTTTTAATATACTAATTGCGGATTGTGATCTTCTACTGTATATACAATTAGTCCGGGCCAATCCGTCAGCATTCCAATCAACGACCTAGTCGCTTGCGCAGAAGAACAGAACACCCAGGAATCCGTCAATGAAGAGACCAAGAAACATGAAAACCTCGATCAAAAGGAGGACAGGAACCAGAGCTCTTTCAAGACATCTATCAAGGCCTTTCTAAAAAGGAAACAGGATCAGAGAAAACTTCGAAAGGTTAAGAATAAGCGGGATAAACTTGTGGCAGCCATCCGTGCTTATGAGAAAGCTCTTGACACTATGGACGTCATTGAGACAATCACGTATCTAGAGTCGGTTTATCGTGAGGTCGGTCTTCTCGCATGAAGGAATTTCTGTGCTATCGGAGTTGATTCCCATACAAGATTTCGGCGTGGCGTATCATGTATCTTGGAGGAAAACCATCATAAAAGACTTATGTAGCAGCTTATTTAGATTATAGTTCTCTGTACCAAGATATGCAAATGATGGCATTGGCTGTTCTGGATGAATGTGAATTTTGTCAATCTCATCTTGTTTTACACTGATATCAAGGGATTTTGCATGAAAAACAGACTTAATGTGCTACCTATCTTTAGCAACTCACTCCGAAGCTACCTAGTACCATGCCGCGAACTACACTTCAGCGTGGAATCGTGCACACTGGCGCAGTGGTCCAACCGGTTCTGGTAATCCAAAACGGCGGACCATATACAAACAAATAAGTAACTACACTCTCATCCTGCCAGTGGTTCGACCCAGTCAGCCAGCCCATCGAGCCATGGTAGGCCGCCAGCTGTGTTCCGTGAAACAAAGTCAATCATCTGCTAAACGCTTGGACTCAAGGAAAAAGGAAAAAGAACAACACCAAACGCCCCCCATTCGGGTTTCCGCATTTTACCGTTGCTAGTTGTGGCAGGGGTTTGTATGTTAGGTATCTTTTGATGTATTAACCTGGAACCTGGTTGTAATTCTCGCCAATCAGAAGAGCCAATAACCGACAATTTAACCAGCCTGGAGATGACTTTACCACCATGCTGCCCATTCGCCGTCAAGAGTGACGTCTGGTGACCTACCGTAGCCTGGGGGCTTGGGTATTGTCGTTGGCTCATGTGTAGAAGAAAGCGATAGACTGCCATTTTCACCACCGCCTTTGGGACCTGTCACTTGGCTGCCTGCACGGTAATCCCGGTGGCAATCAGCCACCTAGCAACCTCCATGAGGAACCCAGGGCAAGAAGTGATGTTCTTTTTTAACCCCAACAAGGTCCCAAAAACTTCATGACGAACATGATAAGCGTAGAAAAAGAGATAGTATCTGCCATCATTTGTTAAACCTTTGGCCGAAATCACCGCATCCTTTCACGTAGAGTTTGTCACGCATTGCAGAGAGGTGACATCCATTCTGATAACGCGGCAGTGGCTTCTGCGATAGACATGGGATAGCTTCACCGGTTTGACCTGGAGAGTTTCCAGATGAAGCCATGATACTAATGGCTGTGTTTATTTCTTTGTCTTATGGCCACGCCGGCTGAGCTTCAAGCCAAAGCTAAAGAGACGAAACAGCGCCTAGAGCTATATTGTAATGAACAGTCAGCTACGAACTTCCGATCATTGAACAGTTGAAAAGAATTAAATCTCCCTCTTCCACCTCTATTCTAACGCCTGACTGGACCTTCTTCATCAGTCTCTTCTCTTCAATCTTGATCCGATCACATACCGCTTGCCCTACACAGCCGGCAGAGTTTTCATTCTATACACAAAACGACAAAACATCAACCGTTTCATTCTACACACAACAGTTCTACCAACATGTCTGGCATTGAGATTATTCCGGTAATCACCGGCGCGGTGAAAATGGGCAAGGAGATAGCGGACATTGGGCTCTCCGTTCGTGGCATGCATCGGGACGCTCAGGCATGCACAAGATTGGCCAATCAAATCAAGCATGACATTGAATATGCTCAAATTCTCCTCAACACCTCGAGAGATCTGATCTGCGACCACGAAGGCATGCTCAGCTGGATTACCGGAACAATCTCCGAAACCAACGACACACTCGCCAGGTACAACGGCTATATCCCGGAAGAAAACGACAAGGGTGCAGCTCTGAAAGCCTTGATGGAAAATGAGCGGAAATGGGAAGAATGGGGCAAGGCTCTCGGAGCAAACCATTCTTCCCTCATGGCGGCAGTCAACGTCATGCACCAGCTCAAGTTGACGCTGAAACCGAAGCCGAAGCCGAGCTGGGCAAGCAACATGCCTCCCGATTTCTAGGGGCCTACGGCAAACGAGCTGCCTCAAGCGGACACTTACAGTTGAGGAGTAGGGGGTCACGCGCCTCTGATTTCCGGCTTGGCCGTCAAATGTCCCGTGCGTGCTCGAAGAAGGATGCCATTTGATTCTCTGTTATCATTACTATGTTAGTTTCTTTCGTCTTCCAAGGATCATCCCGACCGTATCCGAGGCACTACAGTCTTCGTGCCCTCGCCCCGTAGACGGAAATTTCCAGCTGAAATTCAGGCATGGGGGAGTGAGCGTTCTGGTACTGGTCCATAGCATGTTTCAATCACTTACTAATATATTTTGACATGGAATGCCGAACGCACCAGGATGTGAGTGACTGTGATACGTGACCCTGTGACTGGACCCTGCTGCAAGTCGTTTCTTTTCCAACAACCTTGGCATTGCTTGGGCAACATGTCTTCAGCAAATGATAGGAGTCAACAGAGACTGCAGCACAGCCACGTCTACCTATTGGTAAAATGGACTGGCCCAGGCCACTCACTAAGCGAGCGGCTGTGATTTGGCGATCGGAGTCCAGTCCAGGACTGCAAGCTGCTTAGCTCTTGCTAATGGCTGCTCCTCGTCATCTTGCTTCTCGTCCAATGTTAGGAATGCAATTATTGCACATAAGCATGCTGGATGCGATTCTTGTATTCTATTCAAACGAGAAGAACGCGAATTGACTGATTTATTGGCCGTTAAAGATAAACTAAATACAAATTGTTGCATCAGGCAGAAAGGGAACCACAAGACTTCCGGAAAATAAAGGTAGAGCCTCGGTAACCAGGAGCTTGACACACAAGCAGCCACTAGATTAGGGAGGTAGACTACTCTTTAATCTTTTCTACCTCTATGGGAGCCCATGGGGTGCCAGGGTACAGCGCACCCGGCCTGGTCCATTTGACCTGGCCATTCCACATGAATCGGATCCTTGGGGTAACAAGGCGGCCTTGGTCTGAGACCCAGTCAGCCTCCCATTCTGAGGGTTGCCCAAAGAAAATGAGCGCCGAGTTTGCTGCGCGGCCAAGTTGGGTGCTCAGCCTTTCTTTGATCACATCGCCTGGACGGCCGCCAGCATCAAGGAGCTCCATTTTCAGCGCATCGACGATTTCGGAGGCCATGGAATCGATCCTCTTCTGCCGTGGGTCACTCCCGTCATCGGGGAATTCTGTCGCGGGTATATATATCAATTTGTAAAGAGGCCTGAGCAACAGGAGGGTAGCCTCTCTCCAGACCGAAACGAAGTCCTCGGCTGGGGTCATGTTAGCAGAGCCCGCTACAAGGCTGGCATAGAAAGTGAGCTTACTCAGGGCTACGTAGCGATTAGGGATGAGCTGAAAACAGCTTGAGACCTCAGGAGGCAACAGGCATTCTTGAATGTCGCGGGTGGGCTGCCCTGAGTCTGAGAGGCTATAATCACCACACGGAACTTTGTTGTAAGTGGGATGCATTCGTTTGTAGATGAGGCGGATGAGGAATGTCCAGATGGCGTAGTATCGGGTATCTCGGTCACATATCAACTCAGACCAAGTCTGACCTTCCGGGGGATTGCCCGCAAGACGGGTGAGTTCTTGATCATCGAACATGGACCTCTCGATGGCGGGCATAATGGTAGGCTCGATGGCAGGATTTTGGCCGCCGTAGACAAGCTTCAGAGCAAGAAACTTGATGAAAACCTCGAAACTGAGATTCTCATGTATTCCTTTGGGTCCCACGATAGTATGGAGACGCTCGTGCAGCTCTCTGTGCTGCCATGCGATAGGGTTTGGGACAAACAGGGGCACTGGGTCGTGCTGAGGAGTGGGAGCATTCGTGGCTGAAGCAGTTTGCTTGGTAGAGACTTCAGAACCATCGCACTTGGGACCGATTCTCAAAAAGGCGAAGAAAGAAGCTCCACGTGCAGTCCTTCTAAAAGCCAGGAAGATGATTGCGATGAAGAGGGAAATCGTGCAGGCCCCAGCAGCCCAGCCGATGAAGAAAGATGCTGTAAATGAGAGAGCCATCTCCACGGCGATGATCAGAGTGACAGCAAAGTGTAGGTACAATAGATGAGAAAGAAAAAGTGTCGTTGTAGTGGTTGGGGAAAAGGGGCTGAAATACCCAAGCAAAGATTGCAGGATGAGTTGATGTGAGTGGCAATCAGGACACAAGGTCGGTTGGCTGAAGTGCAAACCTCCACTTTCTGATAGACAAAGGTATCTATCTCATCAATAATGCTCCACTAGCGCAAGAATAACCATCTGTTGGTAAGCAATCCTGTTTTGAATAAAGAAAATGCGTCGCAGTGGAGCAGCGTGGCTGGCTTGGCTTGGCTTAGCTTGACCTGACCTGACTTGACTTGACTTGAGCCTGGGTGGATCATCATCATCATCAGCCCTCCCTCACGGGCTCTAACATATTCAAATTAGCTGCCTTCCGTGAGCGAGCTAGCCTAAAGTGCAAATCCGGAACTCACATGGCCAGATTGCAAGTGGCTGGTTGGTACGTACCGCACATCATTCAGCCAACAAGTGATCAGATGCACAATCCCGCCAGCACCCTTAGCTTTGTTGCCGTTGTGGCACTCCAAGCAAATTGCTGTATGGTAACCCTGGTGACAAATCATTTGTGACACCTTGAAGTCGGGAGCGGAAACGGAACAACAGAGAGTGAATACAACACAACACCCGTTGAGGAGTCTGTCTCCTCACCTGGCGGCGGTAAACTGGTAAACAGGTCAGATGACGGCGCACAGGAACCAATTTCTTCGACAGTAGCCAAGGTGACTAAGGGTATCTCTCTTTCTCTACATTCTCAGCTCAACTTTTGTTGATTCACTTATCATGCCAAACAATCAACATACCTTCTCAACCATGGCAACAGACCTGGTGGTTGGCATCGACGTTGGGATGACCGGTATGTATAGAACTTGATCTATTATCCCCCAAATCTGCGCCATTGCTTCGAGAAGATGGGCTGATGGTATCTCTTTACAGGCACTGCGGTTGCCTATAAATCGAAGAGGGATGCAAGACCAAAAGCTTTCACATGGGGCAAAGACGTAAAAGTTCCCACTAGGCTCTTTTACAGTGACCGTCATCAGCCGCCAAAGCTCGTTGGATGGGGACTAGAAGTACCTGATGATTCCCAGAAGCCGTTCACGACTCGAGAGTTGTTCAAGGTAGACTTTGGCAACAGAGAAAAAGACCAGATCCACGTCGAAAACCTATACACCGATTTCCTTGGTTGTTTATACCAGGAATTGAGACTCAGACAGTTTACACCACAGATTTTAGGAGGGAAGTCCTTCGAAGAATGCACCATTCACTTTTTATTCAGTGTTCCCGCAACATGGGACCCAGCTCTCGTGAGCAGCTTCAAGCAACTTATTTCTAACGCCGGATTTGACGACGCCAAAGACCACATCGTCTATGTGTCCATGACTGAGCCACAAGCGGTTGCTGCCTTCCAGATGTGCGGATCGCAGTTGTCCAAACGAACCAAGGTTCGTGGTCTCATGGCCCTCACAAGACAGCTCTGATGTTCAACCCACAGGACGGCGACAAAGTCTTAATCGTCGACGCTGGCGGCGGTACCAGTGTAAGCGCATTCTCAATTCCTGATTACATTTATTGAGCTAACTGAACCTAGGACTTTTGCTTGCTAAGGCTCCAAGATACATTCCATGGAACATCTAAGGTCAATAAGTCATCTCAGGCCATCGAGATACAGCCAGTATTTGGTATGTAGCTTTATCCTTTGGAAACTTCGGCTAATTTCTCAAGCTTGCGGATTTGGTTCCGTCCACATTGACGAGGGTTTCCAGAGCTTGGTGAAAGAACACGTCAAAAGTCACAGAGGCCTTCTTCATAAATCACCCGAACAAGTTGCTTGGCATGTGCGAGATACCGACGAATACCGAGAATGCAAGCATAGCCTTGGCACCAAGAGCTTTGAAGACTTCACGTTTGAAATCCCCTTCCAGAAGACTAATGCAGGCGACCCAGCAAGCCTTCCCCGGATTGATCCTTTTATCCTCACGGAGTAAGCGCCCTATCCACCAATCCCTGGTCCGAATGGTTCTAACTCCTTTTTAGGACTTCCATGGCGTCTCTGTTCGATACACAGATTGATCGAATCAAGGAAGTAATAAAATCATTCCTCGCAGACCTCGAGAAAAGAGAAGAGGCAGCGGATACCGGCCGTGTATGTTCTAACCCTGATGTCGGTCTAAGCGCCGTGGCTGATGCAAGCAGAATGTTGTCATACTAGCTGGCGGTTTGGGAAGTTCTCCCTACTTCAAGGGCAAGATTCAGCAGCTGGTCGCCACATCCCTGGTCAAACTGGGAGGGAAGACCGAGGTATTCGCCTCGGATAACCCGCGCCTTGCAGTGTGCCTGGGCTTGATCTATCATGCTGGGCGTAGCCCACAGCTTTTTCCCCGCCGGCTGCACCGAGTCAGCTTGGGCATAGCGTCACAAGGGTTGAAGAACGCGATAAAGCAGAGTCGCCTGGGATTTTTTGTCAAGAAATCTCTTTTCCATCTTTCGATGGGTGGAAAGGCGGAGAAAGCAGTTGACTGGATTGCCCTCAAGGTAATGGTTCAATGCGCGAGATTGGGGTGTCATTTGGCGGCCATTGCTGATGATGACAGGGGACACCCGTCGGCGACCTGGGCTTTTTCACGGTTACCCAGAAAGCTAAGTTTAGCCCAGACCTCCCACCAGAGAAGCGGATTTGGGAAGTCGCTATTCTCACTAGCTTCGAGAATGCCACAGAGAAGTTGATGGTCGAGGGTAAGACCTTGTTCCCACAGTGACGCACAACAGACATTGATTACATACAGAAAACTGCGGTGTCCGTTCAATCCTAAATATCGATCTTTCTCGAGCGCCTCAATTATCGGGGTCGACGGGGGCTCGGGAAGCGCTTTCGAGACTCCGTCTGGCCCCAAAGCCCGACGTCGTGATCGAAGTTACAGTCGTGGTGCAGGTCGGGCTGGCCACCATCGAGTTCCAGTGGAGTACGAAGACATCCCAGATCCTACTCCTAAGTAAGGGGCATTCACACTAACACATAAATAGTTGATTCAAAGGGGTTTCGCTGCAGCGATCCCATCAGTATCCCGACAGGCGATGAGCGCCTTCCATCCACCGACGCCGTGTATGAATTGAGCTGAGCTAGGTAAGACTGAAGACGTTTCAATCCAGCTCCGCTAATGACGGCTAACCTGGCCAACAGAGGTAGTCTTCGAGAATGTGATGAGTCGACACACATCGCTGGATTCCTTTTATGGTAAATGTCACGGCCCATTTTATCATGCGTCGCTTGTTCTTCACCGGAGATACCTTGGTGCCAAGTATGTAGCTGGACAGAAAATGGAACAATGGATTTTCTGCCTTTGTATTCTGGACCACGCGAGCCTCTTTAATGTCAAGTCCATCGCCGAGGCACATTTGATATCACTATGGTAGGTACTTCTCACAGAGGAGAAGATAGTATGTAAGACTATATCCCAGTTAGTATTGGCCATTCAGCTATTGAGGTCACTCACAAGATCATGCCAAGCCACCCCAGCATATTCAGACTCGCTCTTCCCATAGTGCTCAAATCCAAGTCTCTGGTAGTACGGAACAAGACGGTCATACGTCAAGATAGATATGCGATCCGCAGACTTGAGTGACTTCGTTCTCTGGATATAAACGCGCATGATAGCCTTGCCCAGACCGGCCCTCTGGTAATCGGGTGCGACAGCAAGGGCATGGAGAGCAATCGTTCGTCCATTCTTGTTGTGACCCACGCCGTAGTCACCTTGAGGATCTTCCTTCCAGTTGCGGGGGTAGTCCATATCTTCATCTTTGACGGGTTTGTTGGCTGTTTTGGTAGAGATAACATGTGCGAGAAGCACGTCGTCGTCGGATGTCGATTCCTCCACGAACGGGATGTCATGAGGAATGGGAGACGGCAAGCTGGTGCCAGCACGAAGAAATAGGCCAATGCATATCTCGGGACAGACTGTTAAGCGATACTCAATCTAGATCGAGGTTAGATTCCAACTTCGGGTCTGCTATGGATCTCACCACCTTTTCACGAGTGGCGGCCTCGGCGGGAGGAAACGCGGCAGTTTCAACGGCCAGTGACCGCTCTAGGTCATAGATGTTGAGTTGTCGAGCATAGAGGGACATTTTGAAATAGAGTCAAGTAGTGGTGTATGATTGGCTCAACGTCGATAGGGATTGACTTTACTATAAATATCTATCCAAGGATGAATCTTGAGAAACCTTGATGACAACGACAACGACAACGACAACGACAACGGCGACAAGGCGGGGTTGGGTGGGGCTACAGAGTCAAACCATGGAAGGGCGCGCATTGAAAATGACAGTCTAAACTAATAAGGTACCTAGTCTATACTAGACTGACTTGGCTCTGTCTCCATTCAATCCTGATCATGAGGGGCTGCCTCTACTGTAGCTATCTCCAGACCACGCCTTGGTTATGTTATGCATAAAAATGCATCGAACAGTTGAGGAGGACATCAACACGATACAGCTCAATCTCATTACGCAATCCATTTCACAACTAAACTAGGTAGATTTAGTGCATATATCGCCAGGTTACAGCCTTGTCTCCCTTGGCCGAAAGTTCCTCCTCAGAGATGGTCTCATGTTCACCAGCTGCCATTCTCCTATCACGACTCTTGTTGATGCGGCTATAGCTGAATATCAAGATAAGAGCCGCTATGATACCCCCGCCAATGAAACCCAGTTCCAAGGCGTGACCCAAAATGTAGCGAGGCCCATCCTTTTGTCGGTAAAAGTTGGACGCCATGGCCTAAATTTGTTAACGAGAAGAGCCATGCTACCGGGAAAGGATTGTACCTACACCGCCGAGATTTCCAACTCCAATCTGAAGGGCCATTCCAACACTGCGTTTGTAACTTCCTGACAGATTGTTGGCCAGCCAAGTGATAACTCCTGGGAACGCAGGGTAGATGGCGCACGCTGCGATGAAGACACCGGCG